AGTCATTGGGGTTTAGCTATGTTTTTATGTGGTTTATTTGGTTTGGGTGGTGGTGTTTTGTTTAGGTCGACAAACTGACCTTATTTGCTCTACCACTGGTGGCGGTGTGTTTTTTGTTTTTTTTTTTTATAAAGGGGAGAGGGCAAAAGGGTTTTTACGGCTTTCTTTGGCACACACTAGCCTACGTCCACTGGTTAAGTTCTGTCATATCCACACTCTCCATAATTACCTGTCCACCTGTAACTATCCTGTTACTTGCTGATGAAGACTCTCAGTCATCCAGGTCATAGCCATTCCGTAAAAGTTTCAAAACAATCTACTGGACTTGGTTTCCAAGGTTTGAAGACGTTTCGCTTCCCTTCCAGGAATTGAGAAAGCTTCCTGTAGGGGAAGCGAAACGTCTTCAAACCTTGGAAACCAAGTCCAGTGGATTGTTTTTAAAGTTTTACAGAATATCTTGTTACTTGTTATAAAAGACTGCCACTAGGATAGTTCGTTCATTTACAAACTGACTTTAATAAATGGGAACGCCCATAACTTATCTCCCAGTCTGGACATCATTTTGTAAGCACGTTAATGCCAAGATTCCCCGCACCCTGAAGCGATTAAAAAGGTGGCCGATAGTCGCTACAATGTGAAAAGCAAAGAACTGAAATAAATGTAAGCGTAAAAACATAACATTTTATAAAAATACTTTAGCCAGAAGACACAAAAAGATAGAAATTTAAAAAGTAACATAGAAAAGAAATTCGCAAAAAAAGTATAATTTTTTTATCCTATATCAAAATGTATAATGAGGTGTTAAGATTTTGTCTGATCATTAATTGTCTAAAACATAAATAAGCCAAATTAAAGACACAGCAGAACTAAACAAAATAAAAATTAGGAATTGATAAACAAATAGAAAATTTAATGAAATAGACGTTTACATGAAGTAAATCAGAATTAGCTTAAAACTAGGTCAAAGCAGGCGTTCCTATAGGACTATCCAGTGTTTCAGAGATGTTCGACGTTTTTCTTCTCAGTTTTACCTGGACTCTTGCTGAGCTCGGACAGAGCCTCCATGGCACATTTCTGGACTTTGCTGCTGCCGGTAACGAATCGGGATACTTCAACACAGGCGGTGGATGAAGATGAGGAATCCCCACGGCACAACCTCAGGAAGGTCAGAACTGCAGCGACGATCAGCCTCTGAGGACAGGGGAGGCAATCTGGAGCCTGTTGGTAAAAACAGATCAGATCCATGTGAAGGTCTGAGCAGAAGCTCCTGCTGTCTGGTAACTTTACCCACCATTACTGTGATCTGAGGTATGTTTGTCAGACACACACAGATCATGGAGATGCAGCTTTTACTCTTAAGCTGCTCGGTCATTAAAATCCGAAGATCAACTCCTGGAACAGAGAACATGTGCTTTAAATGTGGGGGCGGGCTTTACACACATTTATTGCATGAAACCAGATAGTCTGTCAGTTTCACCTGTGGAATTAGTTTTTAGCAGAGAGATGCCAGTAGCAATGTCCAGGGGTAGCAGCAGGACTCCAGCAGCATAGGCAGCATGGGTGGGATCACTGAACACACAACCACAGGAGGAAAACACCAGATAGCAGGCTCTGCTTTAACGGGAAAATCAAAGGTTTTTACGGCTTTGCAGCGTGCAAACGGGCACTTACTGCTGGCGGCTGCGTAAGAAGGCAGCTGCAACCTGAATGACGTCAGCAGGTTTCTTCATGTACAACATGATGGACAGAAGTCGGACGATCTGCTGCTTTGAGACACAATCATCCTGGAGGCTGCTGTGAAACAAACATGAATCCATTCATTCAAATTCAGCAGTTCAGCCTCAGGTTTCTTGTTTATCTGCAGTTTTGAAAATATAGTCTTGAATCAGTCCAGCATATAAAAATATGTTGCACTACCATCGTTGCTGAACTTTAATAATCCTTTAAATAGGATGCAGCTCAATGTTTTACTTCATTTTGCACCATATTTATTTTTCACTGCACTTTTTCCTATTAATGCCCTTTGCGACATTATTTAAAACTAGTTTCCTTTACTTGAAATTGTTTACATTCTGATTACTGCTGCATTTTCTATTGGTAATGTTTATCTCATTCCAGCTACAATATAATAAAACTCTTGTAAGTTGCATGCAACGAAATTTAGATTTGTACACACTGTGCATGCAAAATGACAATAAAATTTGTCTAAAACCTAACTGCTTTACCAGCATCTCTCTTTACTAGGTCTGGGTGATATGGTTCTTATCAGAATATTTAGTGCTACTATTGTTATAAAAGTAAAATTGTTGATGAAAGCACTCTTCATTAGTACTTTCAAGTCATTTTAGGTAACTTTCTATCTGTGACTGAAACACCCCTTAAATTCAAAATAGGCTTCTTCGGGGCACTAGTTTTATAGAGAAGTCTGATTTATATCACTAAACATCCTGCAGTAGCCGCATTTAAACATATTCCCTGTCTTTTCTAATGCCAGAGTTAAATAATTTAGTTTTTCTTTTATTGTCACTCATTTTATGATGATAAATCAACGATTACCTTATTATAAATATATTACGATGACTAGAAATGTATAATGATAAACAATATGATGAATGCCCACCCCTAGTCTTGGATAAAGGCGTCACAGCAGGCATGTGATGCTTTATAACTGTGATTTTTTTTTGTCAGAATCAAACGTTTGCCTCTTATTTTGTTCTCCTGATGTATTCAATAGTACAAGTGATAAAATAAAACAAATATTCCTGACTGCTGACTCCAATTATTTTGGTTTTCATAGGCTAATCTAAATCAGAAACAACTTCTCTGCTGGTTACATAGCAGCGGTATAAAGTTGTTCTCATCCCACCTGTTTGCAGCTAGAATGACGTCCATCAGAGGAAGACTCCATCTTTTGGTCACCAGTTCCTCTAAAGAGTCTATGACAGTCAGAAGCAGCTGCTCCTGCAGAGGAGGCCTGAGCTGGACCAGGAGCAGAGTCAGTAGTTTGAGGATCTGCTGACTCTGAGGGGGGTGTGAACTTTCCTTCAGGACCAAAGACTTTTTAAGATATTCTGAGACGTTTGTGATGATTCCACTGCAACTTATGATGGTTTGCTCGCTCACACCGCTGTGCTCTAAATCCCTTTTATTTGCTCCATTACATCCAGCAGAGGACAGAGACTGATAAAGCAGCAGCACATGAGCCAGCAGCTGATTGGCAGCTGAAGAAACAAACAGGCTTGAGTCAGTCTGAAGCTGGAGGAGTGGTTCAATAAGATCTGCAGACAATAGAGAAACAACACCAGTGTTCTTGTAAGACAGTATTGTTGAGCGAAGAGGGAATAAAAAAGCACGCTACGTGATGAATTACCAGCTTGCACAAAAAGTCTGAGAGCTTTGGAGTGCTGCAGCATCTTCCTCAGGCCCTGGATCCAACCGATCCGAAGGCATGGATCCTCCCAAAGCCCCGCTTCTTTCCAGTGATGAGGATCAAAGATGAGCTTCAACACAGAGCACTCCTGCAAAAAAGATAACTTGATGAAGGGATGAGGAAAAAGGGGATACTGGATCAAGGATTACTTGGATGTTCCTACTTCCAGAGCTTTAAAGCCATCCTCAGAAGCAGCAATCAAACCAGTGAGTTTGAGGGTGAAAGAAAGGATGCCGGGGCCTGAGGTGGAGCTGAAGGCGACGTTGGATATAAAATCAAGCAAACATGGGGCGGACTCCAGCAGAGATACGCCTTCATGGAGTAAAAACACACAGAAAAATAAGCTGATTAATGGGGGTATCCAAATCAGGCTATTTCACAATCCAGTAAAATCTAATTATATGAATTTATTCTTTATGTGGAAATATAATACAATACTTAACTTTTTAAACCTCATTGCATTATAAGACCAATGAAAAGTAGTTTACAATGTAAAGAAGAAGGAAATTTAATCCACATTTTTTGGAATCAAAAGGATTATAAAAATTTGAGAAATGCGTTATGCATTTGTATAGCACCACCTGATTCAATACTTTAAAGATCCGCATGTTACTGCAGTTATAGACCACAGACACATCTCTACCAGCTTTCCACATATTGTGCCCACTTCTCTTTGTAAAGCAGATACAGCACAGTTTAGACGGATGGACTTGGAATAGGCCATTCAGGCCAACGATATGGTCTGGTCTAAAGTGTTCCATTTTAGGTCTAGTTCTATGTTTCCTTCCTTAGATAGAAAACTTTATATCAATTTGATTGTATGATCTGGTTGAACTGTAAAGTGCCTTGAGATGACATGTGTTGTGAATTTGGCACTATATAAATAAACTGAATTGAATTATGTTTAGGATCTTTTTTTTCTTTTTTTTTCTGCTGGGTGGGTCTGGTTTAGAGAATTGCTCTGAATATTGTTAATGCTCAGCCTTCCAATCGGGGCCACACTTCACCAATCTGATGGTTGTGATCTGATTTGAGAAGGTTCTTCCACCTGAGCTGAGGATCTCTGCAGATCCTCCAAAGTTAAAAACACCTGACCTGGTCATGGTACAAAACTCTGTCCCTGACATTTCTGCTGCCTACCTTGGTCCTTATGATGCTATTTGTTACTAATAAGTAAGAAAAACACTGTAGCCTTAAGTGATCATTTGGATTTAAACAAATAATATGTAGATGGACTTTTATTGTAGATTGCACAATTTAACAGATGGAAGTTTTGTCTTTGTTACGTGACTTTAGTTTAGGGTTAAAGAAACTTCTGCAAAGCTCTGATACAGTCGCTCTATATCATGGGATTCTATTTTCATAGATGGATGTTCTAATAAATGATAAAGTCTTTACTAACCAGTATTTGTAGTGGCTGTGAACCAGTCTAGTAGTTTCTCCAGACTGGTGTCATCTGGTAAAGAGCTTCCTGACGCCGCTAGCACCTCACACACCCGAGGCAGGACTGAAACACACTGGATGTCCATTAGAATAGCACGTTTAATAAACTCTAAGCGGTATTCGGTTTACCTCCGATCACCTCAGCTAGCTAAAACGAATCTAATTTTTATATTTTTCATTCAGTTAATCTCGATTTTATCTCGCGGGAAGTAATTTCACATTGCCGAGAAAAAAAGAAAAGAAAAGCTGCAAGGTTGTAGATTCTTATTATTCTTGTGTCACCTAACGGTTTAAATTTCCTGTTGGCTACCCATCCCTATAGTATATAGATCTGTGTTTTCTCCGCAGCGCTCTCACGCGCCTCCTAGCCGCTTCCGTCACTCTGTTTCCGCCTCTTCGTCCATTTTCGCACATGGTGCCGCACCGGCCGATCATCGCTAGCCTCACGTTTTCCAGGGATTCCTTTCCCCTCTGTTCACAAAAGCTTCATCTTTTGGTCTCGGTAAATGCAAGATACGGCGGCCATGGTGGATGACCCCGAGTACGAGGAGGAGGAGCCCTCCTTCAGCGACCCGGAGGACTTCGAGGATGACATCGAGGATGAGGGTGAGCGGAGGCAGGAAAAACGCCGGCTTTCCGGCCTGTTGCTAACCGTTAGCCAATATACTAAAGTGGTGGGAATTTAGACGAACAGATGACTAACTTAATTGCATCTTATTTATTGGAACTTAATACATTTATAAATGCCATAATGGTTAGATATTCTGTCTTGACGAACTGAAATAAACATTTTCTCCTTGAGGACCCCTCATTTGAACGACCGCTGTAGCCTCTCCCAGTCCATCCGTTTTTTTTCTTTTCTTTTTTTTTTTAACTATTAAACTTAATGTTTTTAAGTCTTGGTGTATATCGGACGAATAATTCAAAGCAATACATTTCCATTTATTTGACCTAAGGAAACATATGGTTAAAATGGTCTCAGACCCATTTAGGAGAATTCCTCCTATTTAAATGCTAAATAGGTTTTAAAAACCACCAATAAGTAATGCATAAAATATTTAAAACTTCATTTTAATTATTATAAACATACTCCCACCCCCCACCCCAGTAAAACTTTCATTTATTCCCTTGTTTGACATCAGTGCATGTATATGAAATAATATTCTGCAAATAAGAAATAAAAGTGAAAAACATAAAGTAAGGCCCAAATGTTAGCCCTTTTATTCAGAAGAACCCTTTAACCCTTTATAGGGCCTCAATGAAATCCTTTGAATATCCAAATTTCAAGCCAATAGTGTTATTTGAATCCAAGAAGACCTTATTACCTTTGTTACATTAAAAAATATGGATATTTTGATGGCAAACAATGTCAATGTAATGACAAGAAACACCTACTTGCCTGAAAATATTAAGAAAAATAACAAAAGTGCTTCTAGAAGAAATTCATGAAAAACACTCAAAGTGAAAGAAACTAATTTTTTTGCTCCAACATAACCTCAGAGGCATTAATGCCGATACTGACATTTTTTTGTTTATAAACCTAACTATAATTGTTAACTAGGCTTATTTCCTTTTTAACTTTTCAATTAACTTTTTACCTTTTTTTTCTCCACTTTTTTTCCACTTAATTCACAGTCGGTAATATATCATTCAAGGGCTCATCTAATTGGTCAAATGCCAAAATAAGATGTGCAGCCTTGTAGCAGTATCTTTGCTGAATGGCTGGATATAGATCTTGTGCTTCTAGACCTCACCAAGGGAAGCAGGGGGACTCCATTTGTAAGAGATATGCAAGTCATCAAAAACAGTAACTTGCCCTTTAAAGGGTTGGAGATGCAGCAGTGTTTCCATTTGTAATTGACTGGAAAGAAATTTGCACAAAAAAGCTACAGATGCTTGGGAAGGACTGGAGAAACTTGCTTTCTGCAGCAGAAGTAAAGATCCACAGATACTGTTTTGTTTTTGTTTTTTTTAAGGGGGATGTTGATTTCTTATGACATCAGCCTGACCGATCCCCTTTAAATACTGCTTATTTTATTTTGAAGGGCTGATTTTTGAAGCCAATATTACCTCCTGGTCCACCGTTTATGTGATTACAGATGAACTTATAGTAACAAATGTTAAGCAAGTCTCGAATAAAACAAATAGGAACATTTATTAACAAATCAAAGCAAACTTTGATAACTGGCGGCAAATGTAAGGAGCTTACTTAACCTCAAGGCATGGCTGCTGAATGCACTAAGGAATTAGCCAACATCTGCCAGTATGGTGTAAGACATCTAACAGAAAAAACATTAACATTGACTGCCAGGGCTGCAACTAACAATTATTCTGCAAAACGATTAATCTATCGATTCATTTTTTAATTCATCGATTAATCATCGGACAACCAACAGTTCCTTATAGAAGATTTTTACAAAATTGAACCAGGTGAAATTAAAATGTTGCCACTTGAGTAGTTCTAGATAGAGCATACTGATGGACGTAAAAGTCTGTTTACAAGAAATGTTTTTTTTTTTTTTACAATTTTGATGTAATTACTGCTCTAAGTGGGTTTCTTTGTCAGCTAAAGGCTCATTTTAGAGTCTCTATGCTCCAGTTAATCATTCATTACTAAATAAGTTGACGATTATTTCAATAATTAATTAATCATGATAAATAAGATTGTTTCAGCCCTACTCGTCGGCCAATGTATCGGTCTGCTTCCAAACAGGACTATTGTATCTATAATAAAGTCTAAAGGTTTATAATTTTTAGTTTGATTATAACATATTAAGGTGTGATTTACATGGTGTGTTTGTTATTTATTTTAAATAGAAGAAATGTCTCCAAAGCCAAAAGATAGCAGAGACAGGGAAAACCAAAACATGTGTATTGCTGTCTCTCCAGTTACATTAACATCTTTTTTTTTTTCCTTTACAAGTTATTTCAAAAAGTGACATGAATAATTTTAGCTTAGAAATTTATTGTAAAATCGTTCACCTATAGCTGGGGCTGGGTATTTAGCTGAATAGAGATGGAAGTATATTTTTGGATTAGATTGATAACTATTTATCTGACCACATTATGTGGAAGAAAATAACCTAAATTAATACATTATTGTACGATGACTTAAAAATTAAACCATTTTTGCATTGTATTCAAATGCAGGCTGTTGGTTGTTATTGAAGCAAATTAGGGGAACTTCAATGTTTTGGTCCATTTGAAGATTAAAAAAATCTTTCTGTACCTGTAGATCGCCAGAGGAAAAGCGGCCGTTGGATAATTTTGCCTTTATAACTGATTTAGAAAGCATCAGCCCATTTCTTAATTTGAACACACCCACATTTATGAGCAAAGGGATTCCAAAATCTAACCCTGCTTTAGGTTGTTTGATTAAATCAGTGGATAAATGTTGGTCTATATAGTATCTAAAACAAATTTTATTTTAGCCTTTTTTATACCAGATTGCAAATGCAGCACTCTGGAACAAAAACCTTTTTCCTAACCATCTGAAGGGTTTTATATTCTTTGATTTACAAAATGTAATGGATTTTTTTCCATATTTAACAGTGGATGAATACCAATAAATCACTTAAAAAGATTACAACACGACTAACAGGTGATCATCAGGAGGAAAACAATAAATCCAAGATGGTATGCAATAGTTAAGTACATGGATATGTCTTAGAAAGTTGAACTACCTTGTTATCAAATGAGTTAAAAGCAGGTTGTAGGCGACGAAGGTCCAAAATGAGATGAATCCAAGTTCACATGTTCATTAAACCCAAAGATTAAAGGATTTTACTGTTATTATGCATGAGGCAATGTAGACATTATGGATTTAAACTGGATGGTCCTGAAACAATTCACCAATATTCATTCTTCATTTAAATAGCACCAAAAATAAGTTTTGATACTTTAAATACTAGTAACATATTTATAGAACCCATGTTTATTTGTAACTATAGTTAAAAAAAGAGAGAGAGTAAAACAGTTTCTTTGGCAGATAGTCAGTCGCATAAATTCTTACAAAAGAATGGAGTGTCCCACTGCCCAAAGAAATTTGAAAATAATTGACGAGTTAACGGGTTATTTAAAGCAAAAAAAAGCTGGTGTTCACTGGCTGAACCAATGACTCACTTCTGTTTGTTAATTTCAGAGCTCTTGGAGGACGTCCTAAGGGAGAAACCTCAGGAGGCTGATGGGATCGACTCTGTGGTTGTGGTGGACAACGTCCCGCAGGTCGGCCCAGAGCGGCTGGATAAACTGAAAAACGTCATACACAAGATCTTCTCCAAGTTTGGCAAGATCACTACCGAGTTTTATCCTGAAGCCGAAGGCATGACCAAAGGGTAGGACCCGTCAGGGCCTTCTGCTCCCACCTTTTTCTTTGTTTGTTTTAGTAGGTGGAGTTTAAGATGTTAAGTGGACTCTCTCTCTTGGTAGGTACATCTTTTTGGAGTATGCTGCTCCCACTCAAGCTGTGGAGGCAGTGAAGAATGCAGATGGTTACAAACTGGACAAACAGCATACATTCAGAGTCAACCTCTTCACTGATTTTGATAAGTACGTGAAGCATCGGTCATTTGGCCTGCATGCATCTCTGTAGCATTAACTAACAAGTTCTCCCTCTTTTATCCTGTTGTCAGGTATATGAACATCACTGATGAGTGGGAAGCTCCAGAGAAACAGCCCTTCAAAGATTTTGTCAGTTTAATTTTGCTATCTCTTTGATTTGTGTCGTTTTAATCAGGAAATCGTTATTAACAGTTTTTTCTATGCAGGGGAACATGCGTCACTGGATCGAGGACTCAGACTGCCGGGACCAGTACAGTGTTATCTATGAAGCCGGCGAGAGGACGGCCATTTTCGCAAATGATGCCAAAGACCCGATCTTGGCTGAGGAGAGAGCGGTACGTAGCCTGCAGCCTTACGTAGGGCGAGAGGATATGCAGAAGCCTTAAATATGTCTGTGTTTGGATGCAGCGCTGGACAGAGACGTACGTTCGCTGGTCTCCCAAAGGCACCTACCTGGCCACCTTCCATCAGCGTGGCATTGCATTGTGGGGCGGAGAGAAGTTTAAACAGATCCAGAGGTTCAGTCATCAAGGCGTGTCCCTCATTGACTTCTCACCATGTGAGAGGTAAGCTATGAGGTTTTTAGATAGGTGGCTCCAAGACATCAGGTTTTGCACTCTCATTGTCTTGTTTAAAAAGATAGTCTTTTCTCCTTTTTGACAAGCACATCTAGGTCAATAATCAT